AAGACCCGTGGTGGGGGATGCCCTATGTAAGCCCTGGAACCGACCAGGTCCAGGCCATCCAGCATCAGAACATCGAACGCAAGGACTCGAACCGAACCGAGGTTCGCCAACGATCCCTTGACGATCATCGCGAGTTTAACCGTAGTCGAGTTTCAACCGTAAAACTGGAGGGTGTCCCATAACCCATCGTCGTATTTTGTCTTCGCGAGCCTCCGTCAATTCGTGATCGAACGTTACTATGAGGTTCGTCTTGATATTGTTGTCCCTTGTGCTGGGTCTCTGCGACGCCGCCAGGAGAACAACCGCTGCGGCATCCTCCGAGACCACGTTACATGAAAGACACATCGAACGCTCTCGACAGCAACGTCAAGGTCAGTGGTTGCACGCTAATTTTTCATTATTTCGAAGTTTGAATCGTTGAAGGAAAGTGGATTAGGCTCTACTGTTCATAAATATGCATATATGAATATTTCGGTTAATTTATAGAAACGATACACAAATATCATGGAAACGCGAAAATCGGTAGTAAACTAGTATCAATCGTAGTTGAGGGTGACGTCGACGTTCTTATGCAACGGATAGATTCTTACTCTTTTTTATAGAATTTTGTATAGGATTTATTTAAAAGCTTGCTATCGATATACCGAGATTGGGTTTGACGGTTCTCTTTCCAAAAATAGGGCGAATTTCGTCAATTTTGTTTCTCTAGGATTGTATAGCACGTAGACTAGAAATTTCAAACTATTTCGTTATACTTGGAAAAATCATACGTTTAATTGATCGCGGCCTTACGTTTCACGCGGGTAGATTTAGAAAACGCATGGGATCTCGTGGATTTACAAAAGATGGACAACGGTGCAAACGTTTGGAACAAGAATCCTTCTACGAATATCACAGAATCGCACGATTCGGAAACTGTGAATACGAGGCAACTTTATCCGAGTCTTCCCAATCCTGGAGACACGAACGAGTTACCAGGACCCATAACTAGTAACCCGATACCGGTAATAACTCCGCCGCCTGGATGTTACGCTCCTCGGGGACAGTTTCCAAGCCCGAAGAGTTGCTCCAATTATTTAAATTGTTGGGACGACACGGTTACCGAACAATCCTGTCCCGATGGATTACTCTTCAACGATATTACCCTAGTTTGTGACTACGATTATAACGTGAATTGCGGCAATCGCCCCATGCCCACGCCAAGTAAGTAAACGGTTTCATATTTATTTTCTTGATTTTCAAAATTATACGCTCTCGAATCTTAGATTTATTTCGATATTATATTATTTATTTGGACGTGACGCGTAGATTGGTAATTACATTGTTCGAACAAATGAAAAAAATAATTCGACCTGATATCAATTTCGTGAATTTTAGTTGCGTAGGAAAAATCGACAAAGATCGTTTATCAGTGATAAGAATTTGTTTATCAGGATGTAGTTACTCATTAATATCATATTGTAGCAATGTCTACAGGGTGGTACAATGATTCTACGTGAAAAAAGAAGTCGAAAATGTAGAATACAAATTTTTCGTTCGAGGCTTTGTTTTCGAGAAAATCGATTTTGAATTTTCGCTCGGTACGCGTGCGGTACGTTACAACGGATCTCACTGTAGATCGTTGTCTCGATGGAAAAATTAAAAAAGAAAAAGTAAAAAAAAAAATTTTTATTCTATATTTTCGATTTCTTTTTTCGCGTAGAATCACCCCCTTTCCGCTTGTACCACCAGTTACCAACCACCCTGTATATTTCTTAGAAATTACGCTACTAGAGCCAATGTTTCTGACGTAAATAAACTACATTATATAAAGATAGAAAAAGATTTTTCATCTTTGATATTCCATCGATGTTCACGCATCGATCTGCCATTGTACAAACTTTTGTCTTTTCTTCAGGACCGTCTCTGACCAGTGGAACGAAACTCTGTCCAGAACCAAATGGTCGTTACAGAAGTGCGACGAACTGCTCGGAATTCTACGTGTGTGTTTACAAGAAGCCCATTAAATTCGGTTGCCCTCACGATTTGGTCTATAATGACGTAAGGATCTTATTCTTGAGCTATTTCTAGGGCACTTGCAGAATTTTAAATCTTAGAGTAACATGGTGGCCCACGTGAGCGTGAGAGTCTCCTCGACTTGAACTCCCACTTGGTCTCCGTACACGGTCAAAGGCCGCTCTTGAGGCCTCCATGTCAATGCTTGAAATTAAATTCGGCATTAACCTTACATATACTACTTCGTCATTCCGTTTTCTTGCTTCCGCTATAAATTCTCTTTGCCTCGATAAGCTTCGAATAATTTAGGGTTGAAATTTCACGCAGAACCAAGATAATAATCGGATCAGATGATAATCACGCTTCGATGTTAAACATTTTACCAACGTGCGATTTTTAACGTTTACAGAGATGCATCAGCAGATGGCAGTTACGAATATTGAAACATACGCTTTCATTCATAGATATTAATACACCTGTTAGTCTCATAGAGAGCGCGATAATCGGCCCAGATCGTTAGAGAAATGATTATCGGAGCTATTTGCTAGAATTGTCAAGGAAAATAACGAATTAACAATTATTTGCTGGCGTCCATGTAATTCTCTGGTTTACAGATCGTTGAAAAAATTTGAGATGAATTAAATAGCCCAGAGTCTAAATCTGACTCATAGAATCACTTCAGAATATCTAATTAAAGATATAATTAAAAACCTAATAATACGAATATCAAAATGAACTAGAATAACGACCCAAAAATACAGTGGATACAAACAAAGAATACATCGAACTTTGGAAGATTTTTATTTATTGTTGAGGATATATTTTTTTTTACCATCTAAAACTCTGAACAGGGTTTAATAATTTTCTAATTATTTGTGAGGGTTGTTTTATTTTTATATGCATCCTAATACTTACGAAGAGACGTCATACGTTTCCCTATTTATTTGCTTTTCACTAAACCGTATCCTTCGACAACGTATAATCTAAATTCTTTACGTTTTATTTATAATTTATCGCTTCGCAGATATTGGGCGTCTGTGACTACCCGTACAACGTCGACTGCAAAGGCGCAGCAACTCCTCCGCTGCCATCTAAACCGACCTCGCCACAAACCCAGCCGCCATCTTCACCATCGCAACCACCTACTTTACCGCAACAGCCACCAACATGGCCATCGCCACCATCCTATATTCCTTCGCCACAACCAGCGCAACCACCGTCTTACGCACCATCTCAACCATCTCAACCAGCTCAACCTTCTCAACCAGGTCAATTACCGTCCTATGGACCGCCGCAATCTTATCCTGGAAATCCTTGGCTGAGCAGAATTCAACCTGATTCCTGGAACGAACGATCTGTAGCTACGCAATCGGATGTCGATAAAGAGCAACAACAACAACAAGAACTGTCTAGTACGCAACAACAGGCATCGGAGCAATTGCAAAACCCATGGAACGTGGTGCATGATATTCCTCACAGTCTCAGTATGGTTCCGTGCAAAGACGGGGATGTGCACAGATTGAACGCTGCATGCACGAGCGTGGTGCTTTGCAGAAACGGACGACCCCATTTGCAACAATGTTTGTTGGGATACTCGTACGATAGGCCGTCAGATTCTTGTAAACCAATTTCTATCGCCAAATGGTAAGTATATTTCTAGTAGGCGTTTGTTTTTTTCAACGTATTGAAACAAGTGGAGTTTTAATCAATCTTTACGCGATTTTAACGAAATATTAATTGATTTTCTAAACAAATTGAACGAAATACTGTTACTAAATGTTATTGTTCTTTGTTTCTGTTTCAGCTAATCAAACCTACGCTTTGTATTAAATACATAGACTACTTAAACTAAATAAAGCACTGATTTTTCTTAAAACTTGAATTGTTAATTGTTCCTCGTGTGGTACCTTTATCATTGTATCCGTCGATAAGCAAGATTAGGAGAATCTCAAAATATATGAAATGCTGTTGACATATTGCGTACGAAAGATCAAACGCTTTTCAGATTTATTTACATATTCTATTTTGCTCTATTAGCGTAATTATTATGGTCTTTCGCGTTAAATTGATATACATATGTACGTATGTAATTTTAGCGTAGTTTTTGCGTCACGTGAAATATCAACAAGAATTTTAGTCAGTGTTCATAAAAACTAAAGCATCAGTGAGACGATAAAATGTGTAAATACATATCTCGAAATTCAATTATTTTATAATTGCGTCATATTTTAATTCAAATTAGACATGTAAGTAAATATGTATGAATATGTAATTTCTAAATTCGGCGCCTTAAATTGTAGAGGGCGCAACCAAACCTCGGTCTTTTCAACGATCGGTATTACAGAACACGCGATCACGATATGTCAGCAATATGCCGCAAGATGTCAGGTATGTTCTATATTCACCTCATCTGCAATTCTAACATGATATATGTGTACTGAGTTATGCAGTACGTATACATATTATATTTTTTACTTTTTTTATATTACATACATATATTATATCATATATGCATATTACATTATATATTATATTACACATACAGCAGAAGAAATTTCTCCTTCTCTTCTAAACTTTTAAATAGATCTTACTTTGAAATCTTTTCCTATCATAAAATGAACGTATATGGAAACTCAGGATCAATGATAAAACATAGTGACATTCTTAACTTTTCATACGATCGTAAGAAATGACATGAGCGTCAGGTTTCGGGGACATAAGGAACAAAATGTATGTATATTCCTTTTGCGAACGTTCTTTCTAACTGTAATGTCACGGCTGATTGACCAACAATTCGAAGAAGGCGCGTAGAAACAGAAAAGCGTGATGTCGGTAATTTTGAAAGTGTTTAAAAACGAAAGCAACGAAAGTCGTTTCACTCGGTTCTATCGTAAAATTTCAAAATTACGTAATTAATACTTGTCTAACGTTATGACGCCGTAACCGGAACTACCTTGTGCTTTGTTTCTGATAAAATGTACAAATTACACATAAACACGTTTCACGTTAGAAATAAAATAAAAAATTTCATTCAACTTCAGCTATTTATAAACTTTTGCTTATACTACTTATTATTTTTGTTTTTTAGATAAAATCTTAGATCAAACTTCCACATCGAAGTAAAGTACCTTTCTACAACTTCTCTTATGATGTATAACTGAATATTTTCAACGAAATATTATTATAAATGTCTAACTTGTCGAAGCTATACCGGATGAACTTGAAGATATTTTCGTAAGATCTTTTAACTTAAAAAGGAACGAAAATGTCGATTTCGTTCTTGAATGTCGATTTAGCAGCGGATTAACGCGCGTTCGAGTGACAGGGGCGACAAAAATCTTTATCCGTTCCTGAATGGGACAGAACACACCGACAGTAGAGAGATATCACTTTCCCGGCTTTCTTGGTGCCACGCCCGATCGTACCGTACTTTTATGCGAACTTGAACGAAACGCGTGTTCTTCGCGGCGCATACTAATTGACGAAGCCAGAAAAATACGACCAGTTCTAAAATTTCACACGAAATCACGAACGACGAGTAGAATCGTGTTTAGTTAAATTGTATGCCTCTCATTAAGAGGAGAAATCGGAGGTATCAACATAAAAACAATTTAAATGATAATTAATTGGAACAATGGAGAAATTAGACTAATAATACATCTAATACGAGACTTGTAAATTATCGACTGACCTTTTAGTCAATTATAGAGCTCATTATCTCCACCGTTTCGTATAGCTTCTAGATTGCTCCTTGAGAAACTACTTCGAAAACTTTGGAACCCTACTTCTGACAGGTTAGGCTGACATTTTGAATCAATTAACGTTCTTTTTTGACGGTTTGGATAAAGAACGAAATAAATTTAAACGTTTTTTCCTTTTTATATATTAAAATCTTTTTGTGATTTAATTAATTCGCGATAGTTATGTTTCAGCATTGTGAAGCTCTTCTTATCATACTTGTTTTAATATTACTATATCTTTTATATAGCGATTACGAGCAGAATGGCAGAAATTGGAAACCTGTAATTTCTCTCTTGTAAGAAAGCAACAAATTTGACGAGTTTTGCAAAATCGAAGGAACGAAGGTAGTAGGTTGTTGTCTTCATACTCATAATAACATTTGAATGAAGATTTTCTAATAATATCGCTGATATGTATAATACTCATGTACTACGATTTCCCATTGCAGCCACTACGATCGAGTCATTCAAAGTCGAAATTGAACGAGGAAATTGATCGTTTGATTGCATCATCGTACCGATTCGCATACACCGTAAATTCCCTACTAATATTTCTAACTCAGAGTCGAGTGCAACTTAAAAAAACGATCGTTCTCTGCTACGCGTTCGTGAATTCAGACATGTAACAGACACGTGTTCTATTCGCATACCAGCGACACAACAAGACTATTTCCAGCTTGCTATAATTTGTTCTTACACAATGTTTTATTTTAACGTACACTTTTTTTTAACAATCAGTGTTGTCTAAAAATACAAAAGTACAAAAGATATTCCTTAATAACAGACAGTTTATCGATATTTTCTACTTCGTCGGTCTTCTTAAGTTGAAACAAAAAATGTTCTTTGTGTTTCTTCATGAAAATCGCCTAAAGACGGCAAACATATTTCATCCACAGGCGTCTGTCCTGATAGTCATTTCTCATGACTTATCGTAAATGTATTTGCATTAATAGATTAATAGTTTGATAAATTTCTCTGGTGTTCCTCGTCTGATTGTTTTGAATATCTGTTGTAATGATGAACGAGGAGATATTTTCAAAAATATTATATCGATAACTTTTTCTGTTGTTACTTGTTAAGAATTTTGAAGTACAAAACCTGTAATCTTACATGCTCATTATATCTAGCAGGATTCTCATCAAAATCATTTAAAAGTTCTTTACGTTCTTTTAATATTTTCATCCTATCGATTAAAATATTTTCTCTAGTTCGTTCAGCTAACTCTGACCCCTCGTGTATGGCTACAGCTTCAATAAATTGACTATTTAACTTTTCTTTCTTTCTTTCTTTTTCAATCTTTCACACTTTCTTTTGCAATCATTGATTTTTTGCCACAACTTCTTGGTGCACAAGTAGACAAGAAACCTGAATTTCATGATCTATTAAAGCAAGTTCCAATTCTTGTACTGGTTCAGTTAATCGATTTACTTATGAAACTCGTCGGTCTTGATTTATTACACGTTTATTCCTTATTTTACATACTCTGTCTGTGCATCTCAACGCAATAAAAGTTTCATTCGTATTGTAATCTGAAAGTACATCAAACGAAACATGAATTATCTTCAACATTAATATTGAATACAAATGTAGGATGGGAAATCCTTCCATACTCAAATACCAAGATCGTGGAATACAAATAGCTACGACGTCGACGTAGTGAATAACATAGTCGGCTACGAACGCCAAGAGTCCGGGTGGGTTCGATTGCCTGGCACACCATAGTCTGTATCGTATTTTTCACGATAAATACTACGTACATACCATTATTATACGATACTAATCTAATGCAAAATCACGAAAGTGATTGAGTTAAGATATAGGAACAGTCCTGACAAATTAGTAAAAAAATGCAAGTAACCACGGAGGCAATTTATTGAAGAGATAATTAACATAATTCATTTACGTTAGTAGCAAGAACAGCAAAGTTTGCTGTAGTTAGATTTGTAATATATTTCTGAACGTAGTAAAAGAGAAAGAAATAATAAAGATCGAGCTAAATCTACTTAGAGTAAGTTTTGCTGTTGTGGCTTTTCTGCTAAATTATGTTAATAAAAAAGAACAAAATATTACAATATATTATACATAAACGTTATTTTTTCATTTCTAGATATATTGCTTACAGAACATTCCTTTTACGTTGATGTATACATAGAGCGAATATCGCATGACTTTGTTATACTGTTCATTCATTTCGGTAGCACCTGCTGCACAAAGATCTTTGTGTTTACTGTTTCCATCGTATTTGTAACTTCCATTTTATAAATCCAGCAATCTTCATGTTTTTACCATTATTTCTGATATTGACAATAAATTGATTTCTTTGTTTATCAGTTAATAAATTGTACTGTTCTAAAATGTTATAAATTACTCTCTCTCTCTCTCTCTCTCTCTTTCTTTTTCTACATCTAGGACTAATAACATTAAGAAGTTGTAACGTTAAATATTACATAAACCTGGGTGAAAGATGAAGGCGATTTGAAATCTATGAAAGTTGATAGTAAAAGTAGCTTATCTCTCTACTATTTGTATATGATTGGAGTATATTATTGGTATATTATACTACTATTCGCTATATCGTATTAATGCTATTACTATGTAATATCGCTCTATTGAAGACAACAGAGATTTTTAAGTCACAGTTACAGTGTCTACAAGAGTGACTATTTTCTACAGATCTTCATTTTCTCACATCTTGAATATAATTCTGAAAACACAAATGCAAACAATTTTAATTGCATCTTCTTTCAGTATTCATAGTCAAGTTGTCAGAGAAGTGTTGACACAATATTGTATTTCTTATTGCGTTTACATATCAACTAATTACGTCCAAGTATATTAAATTTCTTACCATTTAACAGTGCTTTCGTACGACCAGAAAAATTTGACGCTACGAACATGACGTGTAAAATCTAATGAAAAAATGCATCATTGAAAAATAAGAGAATATGACAATGGTTCTTGTCATCGCTGTAATTATTAAATTTTATCAATTACGCTTAATCAAAACTACCTGTAACGCGATTAATAAATTCATGGTAATAACTATCGATAACGCGTTGATCTTCTTCCAGCGAATTTAAGAAGAAAGGTGGAGGTTCTTTCGGTAAACGTTTTCACGTGGTCGCTAAGTATTCCCGAGGCAAGTTTAGGTCATATACCCTTCGAGGCACGCATTGTTTCAGGGCCGGGTTTCCGCGAAACCGCGTGGGCGGGCTAACTGCATTTCTCGTGCGTGACACACGCGAAACACACGAATGTTTAGTGCATAGAGAGTCTGGTACTTACTTACTCTCGTGCTTACCAGCCTTCTTCTGTATGCAGTTCAGGGTAGCTTCGATCAAAGAAATGAAAAAGAAACGGAGGAAGACGCTGTGGGTTTCCTCGCCCACGTCTCGTCGTTGCGTTCCGTGATTTTTTCCCTTCGAGAGGTAAATATCTCTTGGAAGTCATTGTTTCTAGGTGTGACTCGAATTCCACGGATTCTCTCTTTCTCCGGCCATTCCTTTCTTCCTACCTTCTTACCGCTCTCGCTATTTGTGTTACTCGTACAACCAGAGTCCTATTTAGAAATGCGTTCTAATCTACTTACATTAAAGGAGAAAATCATTCAATTTTATTAATTAACACGATAAAAGTATCTGTAAATCGAACTCACCCATATGGTTCGTAATAATGGAACAAAAGATTTTGATAAAAAGCTCGACAGAACAACGCATTTTTAAAATTCGATGACTTTGATACAAAATTGAGAGAACCAAACTATTGATATTTTTATCTAATTCTTTTCACGTGTTTCGGTTTGCTCGTTTTTTATCCGTTTGCTAGATTCTCGTTCCTTCTGGTATCTTAATGAACAATCGGTAATAAAAGTATAACTATGTTTACTATTCTAACTATTGGCTGTAAGTTCGAGCTGTTCGTTATAGTCGAACCAAAGCAAAGGAACGATATTTATCGTGACGTTCACCTGGGAACAAAGAGCACGGAGGGAGCTTGACCGAATCTGAAGGTTCTCCAACCTACATCGATCGAAGGTACAACTAGGTCACCTTGCCGGAGGTTGTGCAACACCGGTAGGTTGCTATCTAATTGTAAGAAAGCTATATGTATATGCACGGATGGATAGGGGCGAACCAGTGCGATACTTATATGTATTGTGGTTTCAAAATCCGGTTCTGAGAAAATAACGAGAGGCTGGGGAAGCCCCGAGGGATTGTCTTTCAACTTTGCGAGGACAAACTTTCCTCGAATTCCTGAAACACGTTAACCATCTGCATACGCACGTAAACCGGAGATCCACCAGAAAACCAAGCTGTGCTATGCAGTGCTAAGTTGAAAAATATTTGCTTCGATATATGCATGGAATATATGTACGATATATGTACGGAACCATTTTTACCAAACACCTTACGAACACTTACAAAAATGAGGTTCGTATAATATTAACGTACCTACAGACTTACCTATGTTTTTTTACTATTAATTATTAACTTGTATTATTATCGTATTGTATTAAATATTGTTAATTTGTATTTCTCTACATACGTCATATCTTTTTAATTAATTTTTTATTTATGCAACATACGCGTAAGATTTTTTGAATAAACGTGCCTTCGAGGTGCATTCTGATTTTTGACTCTCGCTGTATATGAAAGCAAATATTTTCAGGGCTGCACAGCTTAGCTTAGCTTTTTAGCGAATCCCTGTACAAGATAATAGAAAAGGATAATACATACATTTTGTATGAAAATAAAAACACTAAAAGGTATGAACAGACATATTATTCATACCAAGATTTCCAACAATTGTTACTCGTTATTCGTGGACATAAAAGAAAAAGAGAAAACGCTGTACATTATCAACGATGAAGTCACAACGTTCGCCAACATCGATGATCCGTTTTTCCTGTAGAAAATAACGATCGGCATCTGGCAAGGTCGATGGCGTCAACGACAGCCGGTAGACGTTTGAGAAATGGAAGGCCACTTTCCCTTTCTCTTCGCTTTTCAACAATACGTTCAGGTGTTTTTCAATTT